AGCAACAACTCAGTGAGTGAAGTACTATTTGAATGCCTGTTTTGGCACTCCTGTTGGCATCTTTAGGGTTTATAATATCTTTGCCTATTCTGATAATATTGAGATTGCCAGAGTTGAAGACAACTAGGGCTTGATTTAAATTTATGAAAATGACATCCATAAGGAAGCAGCACCATGGAAGATAGAGCAGAAATGCAAACCAAAGTAGGCAAGGAATTGGTAAGAGAATACTTATCCCCAATGCTTCTTTTTTTCTCCCTTATCTTTGCTCACTTCTCTTCCCCCACTTCCTCCCCACTGCCTATTTACTTTTATATTTTGTATGCTATAATATTTTATAACTCAATAAAAATGTTAAATTAGATAATACTTATCCCCTTGGACGAGTCCAGATAACTGAGACCAGGTGATTTACATCCCAGGCTACTGAAGAAGTTGTCAGATGTGATCTTGGATCCACTGAAAAAAAATATTTCAGAGCTCTTGGAGTATGGGGGGGGACTGCCAGGGGACTAGAAAAGGGTTGGTGTGGTTTCAAACTTCAAAAAGGGCAAAAAAATAATGTGGATCCATGAAACTACAGACCAATCAGCTTGATAGCAATATCTAGAGAAATCCTGGAAAAGATAATCAAGCAGCAACTTTGTGAGCATCTATAAATGAACAAGATGATTACTGGAAGCCAGCATGGGTTTGTAAGAAGCAGGTCATGCCAAACAAATCTTATTGCCTTTTCTGATAAGGTGTGTGTTATGTCTAGCAGGGTTTAGTTATAGTTGTAGTGTTGTTATTGGATGAAACCGATGACGTCATCAGCACGGAAGATTCTTTTGTTAGCCATTGGCTAGAGCAGTTGAGCTATTCATATATAAGAGCTGTCAACTGCCATTTTCTAGCTGAGCAGTTACAGTTACAGTTACAGTTACAGTTACAGTTACATGGTGAAGCAATAAAGAGTTACAGTTACAATCGTGAGTGCCTCAATATATATTGCAACAATATAACACTGGCGACGAAGGTGGGATATTCCTGAGGTGAATTGAGAGCAGAAGCAGCATTAAAAGAGTGTGAGTCACCCAATACACAAACCACCAATCCACGAAATGGCTCCTCCAACTTTCGCCCCATACAACGCTGCTGCTGAGACGTGGGATGCGTACGAAGAGAGGTTTGAATGTTTTTTAGAAGCCAACGATTTTACTGACCTCTCAAGCAGTAAGAAAAGGGCTCATTTTTAAAATGCTTGTGGCCCTGAGGTATTTGCTACTGCCCGAGCGTTACTTGCTCCCCAGCCTGTGCATATTACTTCCTGGGAAGTTTTGAGGCAGAAATTGAGGGCTCACTATGCTCCAACTCCGTCTCGTATAGCCCGTAGGTTTAATTTAAGGCAAATACTACAAGAGGAAGGGGAGCCTGTCAACCATTATGTCGCCCGTCTGCGTACAGCCACCATCGACTGCGAGTTCCGGGATTTAGAGGACGCTTTGGTCGAACAGTTGGTTTGTGGGGTACGCGACATAAACTTACAGAAGCGTTTGTTAGCGAAAAAAACCCTAGATCTTCAAATGGCCATGGAAGAGGCTCAGGCGGCGGAGATGTCAGATAAATCCGCCGCGGACATCCGTAAGTGCCATCCCTCTGCTAATCAAGCCACGGCTGTCCATAGTGAGGAAGTTGTTTCTGAAGACGATGAAGAAGAGCCGGAAGTCAGTCGTATTAAGACGTTTACTGAAAAAGGTGGGCGGCCAACCGGGAAAAAACCTCCTCCATCCTCCTGCCTCAGCTGTGGCGATCAGCACCCCCGAACAACTTGCCGGTTCCGTTCAGTGACATGTCGACGTTGCGGCAAACTTGGCCACCTCGCACGTGTCTGCCGCTCGGGTCGCCAGAGGCAATCTACGTTTCGACCAAAAGGTGCTGCAGTCATCAGTGAAGACTGTTTTGCGATATTCCGCGGCCGGCGGGTCACTGAACTAACGACCCACCGTGACTCCACTACACGTTCAAACAAGCTTTTCCTTACTGTGAAGATTGAAGGTGTTCCTTGCAGGATGGAAGTCGACACCGGCTCATCTAAATCCATTGTCTCCTGGACCACCATCAAAGAAATGATGCCTAGCCTGCAGAAAAATCAGCTTCACCCCAGCCCTGTTAATCTTAGAGATTATCAGGGAAACCGGATTCCAATTATTGGGCACGGTCGTTTCCTAGTTGAATATGATAGTTTCACTGGCCGCCTCCCCTTAATCGTGGTGGATGGCTCCCTTCCTAGTCTGTTAGGCTTAGATTGGTTTGGATCCTTTGGCCTTGCCATCACAGGCATCCACTCAACATCATCAGAGAGCGATTTTGATATGTTGGCTAGTGAATTCAAAGATGTGTTCAACGATGCTCTGGGTAAATATGTGGGTTCCCCAATTTCACTGAACTTAGACCCGAACGTTGCCCCTATTAGGCTCAAACCCCGGAGAGTACCTTTGGCCCTCCGTCCAAAAGTAGAAGCCGAGTTAGATAAGTTGATTGCCCAGGGAGTTTTAGAACCCACTGACCATTCCCGGTGGGAAACCCCAATAGTCATTCCTATCAAGCCGGACGGGTCGGTCCGCATCTGCGCGGATTTTAAAAGTACGTTGAACTGGGCATTACAAGCTAACCCCTATCCTGTTCCAGTAGTCCAACACTTGCTCCACTCCCTGGGTTCAGGCTCCATTTTTGCTAAGCTTGATCTAGCTCAAGCATATCAGCAGCTTCCGGTGGATGAGGCCTCAGCTGAAGCCCAAACGATTGTAACCCACCGGGGAGCTTTTAAGTGCAAACGGCTTCAATTCGGTATTAGCATAGCCCCGGGGTTATTTCAAAATTTAATGGAGTGCCTCCTACAAGGACTTCCCGGGGTAGTCCCATATTTTGATGACGTGCTCATCTCCGCGTCTTCGCGGGATGAGCTCATTGGCCGTGTTAGGGCCGTCCTTCTACGCTTCAGGAAGGCCGGCCTAAAATTGAAGAAATCTAAATGTTTTATTGGTGTGCCACAGGTTGAATTTTTGGGGTATTTAATTGACGCCACAGGTATCCACCCTACTCCCTCAAAGGTGGCAGCTATAAAAAACGCTGCTGTTCCAACGTGCAAAGCTGACCTGCAAGCTTTTCTGGGGCTCCTCAATTTTTATAGCGTATTTTTACCCCATAAAGCCACCTTGGCGGAGCCTCTTCACCGTTTATTGGACAAAAATACGCCATGGTCCTGGGGCGAGGCTGAAAACCGTTCTTTCCGGGCTGTCCAAGACCTACTAACATCCTCTGCTGTCCTGGTACAATATAGTTCTCACCTTCCTCTGGTAATAACAGCGGATGCATCCCCTTTTGGCATCGGTGCCGTCCTTAGCCATAGGTTTCCAAATGGAATAGAAGCACCTATTGCCTATTATTCCCGTACTCTTTCCTCCACGGAACGCAAGTATAGTCAATTAGACAGGGAGGCCCTAGCTGCAGTGGCTTCTGTAAAGAAGTTCCACGATTATATTTATGGCCGCCATTTTGATTTGGTCACTGACCATAAGCCTCTTCTGGGGCTCTTAGCTGGGGACCGTCAGACTCCTTTGATACTTTCCCCCCAGGATGTCCCGTTGGACTGAGTTTTTAGCGGCTTATAATTACACCTTAAGATACCGCCCGGGTAAGGAGATCGCGCATGCTGATGCGTTGAGCCGCTGTCCGTTGCCCTTGCCCGTGGAGGATCCTGCACCGACCTCTTCTGTCCTCCTTGTAGAGGAGCTGCCCATTCCATTATCTGCAACCGACGTTGCCGCCCACTCGGCAGTTGACCCTTTGTTAGCACAGGTGCTCGACTGGGTGGCAAGGGGGTGGCCATTAGGACAAGTGGCCGAGCAGTTCAAGCCGTTCCGGCTCAGGCAACACGAACTTTCTGTCCTCTGGGGTTGCCTGTTGTGGGGTCATAGGGTCATTATTCCCCCAAAATTGCGTAACTCTATTTTGGAGTGTTTACACGAAGCCCACCCTGGTATAATCAGGATGAAGGGGCTTAGCCAAAGTTATGTGTGGTGGCCAGGGATCGACCAGGATATAACAGATTGGGTAGCCAAATGCCAAACTTGTCAGCTGTCGAGGCCAGCAGCACCATCTGTCCCTCCCAGGGAGTGGGAATTCCCGAGGGCTCCATGGTCGCGGGTCCATCTGGATTTTGCTGGCCCCTTTATGGGCCGCCAGTTCCTTATTGTGGTGGACGCATATTCAAGGTGGGTCGAGGTAGAAATAATGCCATCCATCACATCAGAGGCCGTCATACGTGTTTTAAATAAATTATTTGCTACACATGGCCTTCCGGATGTTCTAGTGTCCGATAATGGCCCACAACTGACATCCGCCCCATTTCAAATGTTCCTGGCCAGTTTAGGAATCCGCCATGCCCAGATTGCCCCTTATTGTCCCTCCAGTAATGGTTTGGCAGAAAGGGCTGTGAGGTCAACTAAAGAAGCGCTGGCAAGACTAGGACCAAGGGGGTGGCAAGAAAGGGTTTCCACATATTTGCTTTCTCAGCATACAACACCTTGTTCAAGCACTAATCGAAGTCCTGCTGAGATGCTGATGGGCCGCCGATTACGAACAACACTTGACCGTCTGCATCCTTTATACAACTCAGACCGGCCTACAACAGGCTATTTGCCACCTAGGGTGTTTAAAGAGGGGGACCAGGTTTTTGCGCGAAACTATGGGGGTGATCCCTGTTGGTTGCCGGGACAGATTATACAAGTAATGGGTCCCTGTTCTTACAGGGTCCTGCTCGTTGATGGCAGAACCTGGCGGAGACATGTGGACCAGTTACGGAAACGTGTGTTCGAAAAAAAAACCCGGCAGAGGCTGTGAGTCCGTCACCTACAACAACGCTAAGTTCCATGCCAGGTCCAACGTTAAGTTCACAAGCAAATGAAAACTTAACGCGGGGCGTCACAAGGAGCCAGCAGTGCCTGAGATTACCTTACCTGAGATAGAGTCCGAGGCTGGGAAGTCTGTTACAGGGAACAATCCGTCAATTGTACCGTTATCTTCTCCATCCATGCTGGAATCAGCTGCACCTGTTATCGAACCTGAACTACGACGGTCCGGACGAACACGCAGGCGCCCGGCGTACCTTAACGATTACACTTGCGTGATCCAGGAGGGGAGGGGTGTTATGTCTAGCAGGGTTTAGTTATAGTTGTAGTGTTGTTATTGGATGAAACCGATGACGTCATCAGCACGGAAGATTCTTTTGTTAGCCATTGGCTAGAGCAGTTGAGCTATTCATATATAAGAGCTGTCAACTGCCATTTTCTAGCTGAGCAGTTACAGTTACAGTTACAGTTACAGTTACAGTTACATGGTGAAGCAATAAAGAGTTACAGTTACAATCGTGAGTGCCTCAATATATATTGCAACAATATAACAGTGTGGATCAAGCAAGATGCTGTGGATATAGCCTAGTTAGACTTCAGTAAGGCATTTCATAAAGTAGACCACAACTTTTATTTGGTAAAATAGAATAACATGGAATAGATAGTACCATCACCATATGGATATGCAGTTGGCTGACTTGCCACACTCAGCAAGTGGTCCTCAATGACACTACATTTACATGGAAGTATCCAATGGGGTATCTCAAGGTTCTATTTTGGGCCCAGGGCTCTTCAATATCTTCATAAATGATATAGATAAGGGGATTGAAGGGGCACTCATCAAATTTGCAGATGATACCAAGCTAGAAGGAATTGCTAACACTTTGCAAGATAGACTCAAGATTCAGAAGGATCTTCAGAGACTTGGGCCCAAGATGCAGTTCAATGGTGAGAAAAATAGGGTCCTGCACATAGGCAGAAAAAGTGAAACACACAAGTACAGAATAGGCAGTAGCGGGCTTAACATTAATGCCTGTGAGAGAGATCTAGGTGTCTTAGTGGACCACTACTTAAGTATGAACCAGCAATGTGCTGTAGCTGCCAAAAAAAGAGAGAAGCCAATGCAGTCCTAGCCTGGATCAACAGAGAAATAGATCGTGAGAAGTGATAATACCATTCTAAATTGCATTAGTAAGACCATAGTTGGAATACTGCAACCAGTTCCAGTCACCACAATATAAAAAAGATGCTGAGGCCCTAAAAAGAGTGCAGAGGAAAGCAAAAAACATATAAGGAGTCTGGAGACTAATCTGTGTGAGAAATGTCTAAGGAACTTGGTATGGTTAGCTTAATGAATAGAAGGCTTAGGGGTGACATGATAGCTGTTTTCCAGTACTTAGGGCTGACAGAGAGAAGAGTGGGTCAGTTTATTCTCCAAAGCACTTGAGAAGCTTGAGTGTTTTTTTTTAATGGAAACTCATCAACCTGGAACGAATAAAAAATTTCTTGACAGTAAGAACAAATAGTCAGTGGAACAGATGGCTTCCTGGAGTTGTGGGTGCTCCATCACTGGAGGTTTTTATGAAAAAATTGGACAATTATTTGTCTGGGATGGAATAAGGACTGAGGGTTGAACTAGAAGACCTCCAAGGTCCCTTCTGGACATATGATTCTAAGAAAATATAACAACTAGTATTTTTAAAATACACAGGTATTTTAAAGATATAACTACAAGAAAGCTGGTGAAACATGTAATATTATTAGATAAAGTGGTAGACTAGACTACAGAAGTTGTATACTTGTGTACTCTACAGAGGCAATCCTGCAATTCTAGACAACTTTCATTGCACAAGCAAACTAAATCAAAGTCAAAGATTAACTATCCTTTAGGCAATATCAGAATATAAAAATGTATGATTTTTACAGTGTATCTACAATAAAAAGAATTGTAAATAGTCACAATTCACTAATGCTGACTTTCTAAATAGTTTAGCATGTATGAAGTGTGTTAGTTTGCAAATCTTTTTAACCCTTCCAGGAGTAGTTCAACCAGAAGGCTGATATGAAGTAATTTTTTATTTTTTGCTGCTTTTAGCTTCTCCTTTTGTGTTTCTTTTCTCTTTGTGAGACTTGTATGAATGAAAGAGAAGGAAGGGATGCTGGCTCAGAGTCTAGAGGTTTTAATGGTCTACATGGGTAGAAACCAATTGTGATTCGATCTAGCAAATAGAATTGTTATAGTCACCCCCCTCACTCCCCAGGTCGGGAGAGTGGACATCTCTGACCTTGGATAGCATCACATCCTCCTGCACACATCTGATGCAAAATTTGGAGGTTATCTTGGACTCATGGCTCATTCTGGAAGAGCGGGTGGCAGCCTTGACTGTGGATCTGTTGTAGAAACCACTTTGTACCCATTCCTGGGGTAGGAGGCCTTCCTTACAGTGCCTTAGTTACTTCCCGTTTGGATTACTGGAATGTGCTTTACATGAGTTATCTCTTTGAAAGCCCTATATGGGACAGTGCATTATTGGAATGATCTCGCTGCTTATCCTCCTAGGTTAGATAAGATGGATGCACTCTAGGACTCCTCCCTTAAATGTTGCCTTGTGATGGAATCTTGGAGGCAGGGTTTCAGGATAGCTATCCAATGCTTTCCCACTCCAGCTTCCCACTGGAGAACAAAGATATCCCTACCATTTTAGTCTTCTGTAGGGTTATGAAGACCTGACTCTTCCCCAAAGCATTGGACTAGAATGCTGGACGAGGCAACTGAGTTGTGATGATGATTGGTCTCTTGTTGGGGCCAGGGAAGTTATATTTTAACTATGTTTTATGGTTTGTTATTAGCTGTCTAGTCATTGTATGATGTAGGCCAGTAAATGATAGTAATAAGTAATAATGAAAAATTGTACTTAAATCTACTTAAATAATATGTGATCTGGTTGCTGTACTCAGGCCCCTGGGAAAGCTCTAAGATCTCTCAATCTTTTAAAAGACAAAAAAGTACCTATCACACAATTTACAAAAGATGGTTTAGTAACATGGATCCATACTATCTTGGTAGATCCATATTTTGAAATGTTTTGGAAAAATAAATGCTATCTTTCATATTCTATATGTTATTCACTACTTTCATTTACATTTCAGATGATTCAGGGTTTCTTTTTTAACTAATGCTTTTTTGAAATAAGACTGGAATCTCTTGAGATCACTGTGGTAATGTGGTATTAACGTATTCAGCAATATTCCTAGGCAACCCTTGGGCTAGCTTTTCTTTTTCAAGTGTATTCTTAAAGTTTGGCTTAATTTTGTTTTTTTTTTTATGTGTTCTGAAAAATTGTAATAATTTTCTCTTTGTGTCTATCTATTTGTCTATCTTTTAATATTTAATTTTTTTATTGGTATTGATTTCAGAATATGGTTTATTATATTACAGACATATGAAAATATACAAGTAAAAATAAAGCAAAGTGGCTTTGTATGGGAAGTCAATTCATCCTACAGCTTTCATCATTTTATTTGATAGAAAAGTAGATAGTCCCCATCTACTTTTCCCCAAAAGTTTAGGTTTTTGTGCTTCACTTAATAATTCATCAAAACTTGCAGGAAACATTTTTTAAAAAGATAGGTAGCATTTTGTTCCTGATACTTTGTCTTGAAACGAAAATATGTCAGGAAATTCTTGAGGAAGTAACAGTTTGGCCTAGTACTTAAGGCACCAGGCTAGAAACTAGGAGGCTGGGAACTCTATCTAGTTGTAATCTTAGCCATTAAGGCTGACTGGGTGACTTGAGACAGTTGTTTTCTCTCTCTCAGCCCATGACATCTTGTTCAGGCAACAAGTTGGTTGATCAATCCATCTCACAACCAATGGATCAACACTCAAACAATGTTAGAAAGAAAGAAAAATTTCTAGAGGAAGTAGTACTTACAGTTAAACAGGACTTCAGATATGTAACTTCTTTTAAGATATACGTATAGTTAAGAATTAATATAATGGAACAATCAGATCCCTCTAGTTTATTATTAAAAGAATATATCTTGGTTGATTTTGTGATTTAGTCAAAAGTATTGATGGAGATAGAACTATAATATTTAAACATGCAGTTTAGGTCTATGTATTCTGATTGTAGACCACTGTGTCAGTATGCCAATTCTGTGACACTTTTGCATCAAGACTTACTAATATGGTTGATTGATTCTGCACAGTATCTGGCTGTTATCAGTACTTGGATGAAGATGAAATGGTTACAGTTCATTTCAGACAAGAATTAGGCTGTACTGGAAAGTTCAGTGAACTAAATAATTGAACTGAATAGGCAAGTTTTGAGCATTTCTTTTAATTTCTGCACTCCCTCCTCTGCCTCATTTAAATGAAAGTTTATTTAATTGTTGTGGTATAATGCATTTTAATACATTTGAAATAAGATTATTATTATTTTTTGCTTTCAGCAAGATGGTATCTTTGATTTATAGTTGTGTGTAGCAGCCTTGTACAATATTTCTTCATGTTTTATGTCCCATGGGTTTGCAACCCATTCTCTCCCCAGAATGTCAATACTCTGCACTATTTATACTCAAGAAAAACTATATAAGAAGAAGCCAAAGAGCAGTTGCTACCCTAGTATCTCTTTTGTTTCTTATCCCTAATTTGCAGATGGGAAAGAAACATCAGTTTCTTTTCTTAGTCATCCCCCTTAGGAAGGGAAACTGGTGTAGAGAAGCAACAAGTATCTTCACTGTCTTACCTCTGTAAATTAAAACTCTGGTTGCACATATTTTCATGAACCAATACCTGCCAATGTGGGGTTATCATTATTTGTGCTTGAATTCACAGGGTTGAAATTACATAGAATGGATATTGGTTAGAAGAAAATGTATATTCACTTTGACTGTATTTATCTGCAGTTCCCAGCATTCATACTTCAATTTAGTGCAGTGCCACCATATGTTTACTACTTATACAGTAGCCACAACAAAGTAGAAAGTAAATTATGAAATTTTAGATCTTTCTGAGATAGACTATTAGACTGATATTCATATTTCCATTATGAGGGTTTGAGATAACCCTCATAATGCTAGAATAGTATTTACTTTCATGACAAGCAAGCAAGAAAAAAAACCTGTTCCATGGCCAAATGCCATATTGTAACCTGCCTTTCCATTCTGTCAATGCATCAC